CCCATGAGTGTTAGAATGCTATATATACTATTCTATATTTATGTATTATATATCTATTATATGTATTATATAGATAAATGATTGCTAGAAGACAAATATAACTTAGATTTTCCTATTTTCCCTGTGTATTATCTGTTACAGTTAGATTATTTTTGGCTACTCTGACTCACGTTGGGACGTCATCCCTCAGCAGTCGTGCTCTAGGTGGGAACTAAGGAAAAGTGTATATATCCTGAGAACTCCATCTTCACAACGTAAGGCCGCTATGTGGAGCTTCCGGGGCGGGCTGGCTCCTTTCCCCGTATGTACTACATGAAGAACAGCGTCCCCATCCACCACAGGATGCCACTGGGTTCTCACAGACTTCAGACCAAAGCCAGTGTCTGGATCGGACTTTGCCTTTCCATAGTAATGAAGAAATAAACTTACATACTTTGTAAATTATTCTTGGGTATTTTTTTAGAGCCAGTAAATACACTAAAACATTAACTAAATAAATTTCATTTATTTACCTGTCCTTAAATATCTATTATCTATTCATTATGTCCCACAAAATAACACATAATAGAGCTGTCCCTAAATGTATTGCTCACACTGAAAGATTTTTTTAGCACAGCAATGGTTATAGTCCATTAAAAGAGATTTTTCCAGGTATTTGCCATGTGATATTTTTAGGAGAATAATTTAACACACAGGTTGCTGACCATGAAGTCTTGAACCCCATAAAGTTTATGGGTAGATTTTAAGTCTTTCTTGAGCTTGAATGAAGAAATGTTCCATTATTATTGCCACTAATATATTTACATTTTTAACGAATTATAAATGTAGGGACTAATGGCATAATATTAGCATTATCAGAGGTACTCTAATGAACAGAAACAATGAACTATTTATATTATACTTCAGCTGTTTAATCATCTGAAAATACTATTTACTTATTCATTCTTAAGTGTGACTGAAAAAAGCAGATGCCATAAAACAGCTTTTTAACCGTTTTACGTGTATAGTTCAGTGGTATTAAGTATATTTTCAATGTGCGCAATAAATCTCCAGAACTTTTTGCAAAGTAGAAACAAAATTCCCAATTAACAGCAATTGCACAATTCTCCCTACCCCCATCCCCTAGTAATAACCATTCTAGGTTGCATTGTCTAGGTCTGACAATTTAAGACACTTCGAATAACTGTAGTTACACGGTATCTGCTTTTCCGTGATGGACTTTCCTCCTTTTGGGATAATACTCGGAAGACTCATCCATTTGTGGGATGTGGCGAGACTTCCTCCCTGATAGGCGATGACACCCTGCTGTGCACATGTCTCATATGCCCCTTATCCATTCATCTCTTCTTGGACATCTGGGCCACTTCTACCTCTTGGCAATTGTGAATAATGCTGCTATGAACACAGATATATAAATATTTGAGATCCTGCTTTCAATTTCTTTGGATGTGCACCCAGAAGTGGGACTGCTGGACCACATACGCGAACTCTATTTTTAATTTTTGATAATCAACTGTTCTATTTTCTACAGCGGTTGCAACATTTTACAAACCCGCCTTCCCTGATTTCCATTTTTCATCTCATTTCCTCTCCTTTCTTTTATTTTTTCTTAGTAGTCAATAGTGGGAGATGATCTCTCAATGGTTTTGATTTATTTCATTTCTCTAATGGTTATTAATGTTGAGCATCTTTCCATATGCTTGCATGTCATTTGCATATCATTGTTGCAAAAATTTATATGTGGCTCTACTCACTCTTAAAAAAAAACTTTTCACAAGATTCAATTAAAAGCTATTGTTGGGGCCTGGTGTGGTGGCCTAGTGGCTCATGTTCTCACCTTGCATATTCAGGGATTCCATATGGGCACCATTTCCCTTTTGACTCCCTGTTTGTAGCCTAGGAAGGCAGTGAAGGATGGCCCGAAGTCTTGGGACCCTGCACCCGTATGGGAGACGCAGAAAAGCTGCTGGCTCCTGGCTTTGGATCAGCTCAGCTCTGGCCATTGGGGTCACTTGGGGAGTCAATCAGTGGGTAGACGATCTTCCTTTCTTTCTTTCTCCTCTGTAAAATCTGACTTTCCAATAATAATAAATACATCTTGGCAAAAAAAACTTGGTATAGCAGAGGAGGAAAGTCAGAATCATCCATCCGTTGATTCACTCCCCAATTGTCTGCAATATCCAGAGAGGCCAGGGTGGCACTAGGATATAGGAGCTTCTTGCTGGTCACTCACCTGGGTACCAAGGGCCCAGGCACTGGGAGCTGGATGGAAAGTGAAGCAGCCAACACCCAAATGTGTTCCCATATGGGATGCTACAAGGAACGTGGCAGCTCAACTTTCTTTGTGGCAGTACCACTTCCAATCTCTCTCTTTTTCTCTTTTGTAGTTGAGACATAAGAGTTTATCATATATTTGATTATGATATCAGACATTGAATTTACAACTCTTTTCTCTATTCTGCAGGTTGTCCATTCGGTTGATAGTGTCACCTGGTACACAGACTTGTTTCTATTTTCCTTAAATATTTGTGCCCTTGTTGTTACATACACTCCGTTATTGTCAAATCCAATGTTATGATGCTTGCCTCCACACTTTCTTCTAACAGTTTCACAATATATCTACATTTAGTTCTTTCATTCAGTTTAATTTTAGTACATGGTTATGATAGAGGAAAACTTCAAATTTTGCATTTGGGTGTTGAGTTTCCCCTATACTTTTGGTAAAAAGAATTGTTGTTCTTAAAATTGTCTCTATCACTGTTTCAAAATTATGCTATATATTAGTATTACTGACAGAATTTTTAAATTTAATGTACTAGTCAAAAAACCTATTACCATGTCATACTGCTGTTAGTAAATAGCTTGATAAATGTATTTCAATACAATTTATTTTTCTATAATCCACTGTGATTACTTTTTTGTACTTAATGATTTTTATGTATTATGACTTAAGGCATCTATTTTGTTCTACTTAGTCATTTAAAATATTTTGAGAAGGGGTGAGCAAGCTTCACCAAAATGTGAAGAAGAGCCACAACTGGAAAGCATATTCGCAATTCAGACACTGTTTTAGCAACTCAAGGTTCAGATGAAGTCTTGAACCAAGGCCAAGTTAATAATAAATATGTAAAATAAAAGGGCAAAAAATCAATGCCAGTTAGTGACCAAACGCCAGAAACCAATGAGAAAGTGAAGCCAGTGTTTACCAACAGATTTCTAACTTGGGATACTGGCAGGTGGGATGTAGTTGAGTGAGTCATCAAATCACACAGTGAGGAGTGAGACACTCACTCAGGATAAAACTCCAGGATGCCAAAGTTCAAAGAGCAGCCAATTCATTGTCATTAATCATGGAAGTATGCAATGCATGTAATGTATCAGAAGAGAGAACTACCACAGGAGCAATAAAACTTTCAGAAGCAATTGGTGGTTAATTTGTGAAGGAATTGCTTGTTATGAATCTACTCTGCATCTATAATTTTTGCACCTGCAATTATTTGCATGCAAAAAAAAAATGCAGCCACAGTTGCTTAATTATAGGCCCAGGCGTCCAAATTTGCCCTCCAAAAAGAACAGCCTAAAGAGATACCATCTGTGAACATGCAAAAACCCTCAGACCTTTCCTACTCCAAATCCTGTAAGGCATTTGGGAATGTTTCCCTTTTGGCTTTCCTCTTAGGCTTTGTTTTTGCTTGGTATCATTCAAGCACAACAAAGTAGTCATTCTGATCAGTTGAGTGTTAGCAGACCTTTCTCTTGTCCAATCACTACGCTTTCCCATCCTCTAAATGAAACAGATACCATTGGATGGGCACAAAGAAAGCAGTGGCCACATCAACCGACTTATTAGCGTGAGCAAGCTCATTCCTCTATCCACATGTGTTTTTACAAGGTAGCCAGCTTGAATACTGTAAAGACAAAAATTCTAAACAGTGTCTGCTCAGTGGTGACAAGAAAATTATATTTCTCTGTCTAAAGAAAGTTTTAGCCCTTTATTAAAAATGCAGCTGTCAAGTTTGATCTAATATATTCATATTTCACTATCATATTATTAGGGCCATGATGAAATTTAATAATTGTCCCCTGATATTTGATGTCCCACAAAAGTGTCATAACACAATCAGCATTACAGCAAATAATTACTGCACTATATAGAGACAGATAAGATTTCAGGTGGGAAATATGTAATAAGAGACGAGAAATATAAAACCCAGGTTAATGCTTGATAAAGATTCTGTTCTCATACAAATGCCAGTAAATGTAAATGCAGACAACGGAGGCTGCATCATGAAAATGAAGCAGATTGCACTCGGAATAATTTTCAAAGGTTTTAATGAGTGTTCAAATATTATTTGCTTACCATTTAATCATATTAAACACTGCACACTTGATAAATCTTCTGTGATGTAAGCAACATCCATCTTAAGGATGGAACATTTCTTACTTTATTAGGCTAATGATGAAAAGCAGAAGGTAAAATGTGTTTCTTCCACAATAACTCTATATTTCTTCACTTTTTATTGTTTGAAGCTATTATTCAGGGCTAAACAAAGGCTTTGGAATTCTAAAATATTTGTTTTTGACTTATTTATTTATGTATGTTAAAGTGAGTAGGTGACTAGGAAGCTACATTTTATATTTGTTGCTCTACTACATTCATTTTAGCTCGGGAGTGCCAAGAATCAAAGCAGTTGTTAGACACCAGCGTGAATTTTATGGATAATGGCGCACCTGTTTGGACACTGACATGTGATAATATAAATGGAATTCAGCCAAGAGGGAAGCATGTCAAGAAAATGAGAATGTGTGAAGGGGTGATACCATTAAAAAAAAACAAGAATTAATTGGATGTAAGCATTTGGACAGTCATATATCCTATCCCATGCATCTGAACATTTCAGTGGCTGCAAAGTTCAAAATACTATGAGTGAAGAAAAGTTATTGATTTTCACTGGAGTTATCAGAACATTTGAATCATTTAAAAGGATAATGTTACTCACATCCTGAGCTACCATTTGTTGACACCAAAGTCAAGTTGGAAGGCCATGGATTCCGAACAATATCTTGCCAATGAATTGTGTCTGCATAACAAAGGAACTTGTTCTGGTCCACGTAGACTCCACCATTTAAGATTTCTGTATTAAAAATAAGCAAATTTATTGTCAAAATGGTTATTGATGAAATGGAAGTCAACAAAAATGATTTGCTCTTAAATTATTTTCAAAGTTAAATTAGATTTACTTTACTTTATAGAGAGTCCCTCTCTCTATATATATAAACATATATAAGATTGTCACAGAAATTTACCAAGGCATAAAAACACAAGAATCACAATTACTTATAATTTAACACCAAGACAGAAACACTGCTAACAGGACACTATATCTCTTTCAATTTTCCTCAGAAATCATAATAATATTTCATAAACTATACATTTAATTTGATATTATGCAATGAATATATGGTGAAAAGTACTAATTAAATAATTTTAATGAGAATATGACATATAAGGATATAAATTGGACATCATAACTTGAGTGAATGTTCTTGTTGATTGCTTATTTGTCTTTGATGATTGTTGGATACACCTTTCAGGGGTAACCATTAAATATAGTTAAGCTCTAACTTCAGTGCCTTTCTCCAGTTAGGAGTTCCTGGGTTCAAATCCTGGCTCTGCTCTCTGTTGTTGCTTCCTACAAATGTGCAACTTTATAAGCAGCAGACAATGGTTCCTTGCCACAAACATGCTAGATCCAGAATGAGTTTTGATTTTCTGGCTTCAGTCTTGCCTGGCCCGTCTTGGGGGACATTCTGAAGTGAACCAGCAAATGGGAAATCTGTCTCTCTTAAGTTAATTAATAAAATAAAATGTTTAAAAATTTTACAAGTTTCATTCTAATATCATAGCATGTGATCTTTTTTTTTTTTTACGATTTTTGATATAAGATCCCAACGAAAGATAGCCTCAGTTAATATAACACTGGAGTAATGCTTCAAATCACAAAAACCATTATTACATTTCAAATGGGATAGTAGAGTTGCCAAGATTTGATCAATAATTACACAAATCTTTTAAAAACTTCATAGTTCCTTGGAGCATAGACATTTCCGTGGAATAAAATGAAGTAAAGCCAATTTCCAAGCAACTTCCCATCTCACAAGAGTGGTGTTTACTAACTAACTTGTTTTCTGAGAACAGTGTCTGACCACATACATGGATGATCTTTCGGACTATTTTATGTTACTCAGGAAAAAAAGCAAAACACTTTCCGTGGAAGTTGAAGAAACTGACTAGAGTGCACACGTAGAAACTTCCTGCCCAGTATCTGCCACAGCTCCCCCTCTTGTCACCTACAAAGCAGCGGTAAGTGTTCGGCTATAAATATCAAACCCAATTAACAGCAACTTATATGCTTAGTTTCAGGTGCTCTGTCATCTTGTGTGCTACTCTTGTTCATTTTCGGCACCAGTTGTACATCCAAGGATATCCTAACTGAAAGCAGGATGGAGACAGAAGGAAGACTGCTTCCCAGTAAAGATTTACTTGGGAGGAGAGATTCTTGCGCTTACGGACTATTTCTGCCTTTTATTGGCCTGAACAATTGCCCATGGTTACCCTTACTGTAAAAGGGAATGAAACGTCCATCAGTGGGGAAACAAAGGGACAGAGATATTAGAAAGGCAGTAACCTCTGTCTCCTACAGTAGCCTTGAAAAAACATCTCCTGGTAAGCACCCCAAATGCTGAAGAGTTCTTAACGTAAAGAGAAAGATCAAAATAATGAAACGATCACGTGATACAACAAAAGAGGTACATGCAAAGTGCTGCTCTGTACTGCATGTGTCAGAGTCTCTGGATGGTTCTATTGCACAGTTTCTACATTTAAAATCACTCCCATCTCATCATCATTCCTGCCACTGACTATTGCTTCCATTTTCTGGGATGAAGAAAAATATAAAAAGAAACAGAAATTAGATTTTTTTAAACTTCTAAAACCCAGTTCATTATGCTTCATGACCTAACCATACAACCGTTGTCAAAGCAGAAAGAGCTGTAAGACGTAAAACAGATTGTGAAAATGGGTTTCTGCCCTAATGTTTGGCATTCAGATTCTATGAAAAGTGACAATCTCACACAAATAGCTTTCGCATGAGACATTAGCTGAAACTCCTCAGTGGTGGTCAAAAAAAAAAAAAAAGAGATTTTGATGACTATCCGGAAGTGAAGGCTATTTTTCACTCTAAATGTAAAAAAAAACTTCTATTTTAGAAAAACAGAACAGAAAGATAATCGCTGAAACATGGAGAGAATTTATTTTTCAGAAGTCACATCTTAATACAAATAGTTTATCTGGAAGGAACATAGTATCAATCTCCAATTACCTATCTCAAAAAAATTTGAAGCTAGATTAGGTTATGTTATACTGAATAACATTTTCATCAAATCTCTTCCTTCAACAATGTGACTCTGTTGCTAATGCTGACCTTGGTTTCTTAGAAATACTTTGTGTAACAGCTTGGCTTATGCTTGGAAAAGAGATTTTAAAAAGAGATCATTACATTTTAAGTATAATCTTACTTGTTACAATTTCATATTAAGATTGAATCATGATAAATTTAGATAATACTTTTTATCATCCCAAATACAAAAGCCAACATCTGCTAGCAATTTTGGTCAGGAGGATTCATACATCTTTAGAAACTAATGAAGGAGAGTTCACCTCTGTGTGTTTGTGTTTTTCATAAAACAAACATGTTCCCTTTTGTATTTGACAGAGACTCTACCCTGCCATTGAATGCTGAAACTCAACAATAATACAAGTTACATTTGCACTGATACATGCGGAACAACTGTATCACATGACTCATCGTACACATACATATCCTTTTGCTTAATTACATTATCGACATAATTGTTAGGAAATAATGTTATGTGTATACTGAGCAAACATTTTTAAAGATGATAGCCTTACAAAATTTTTACATTAATTTACTATGGGGCCCTGCGGCGTCCTTGCCTTGAACGCCCTGGGATCCCATATGGGCGCAGGTTCTAATCCTGGCAGCTCCACTTCCCATCCAGCTCCCTGCCTGTGGCCTGGGAAAGCAGTCGAGGACGGCCCTGCACCCGCGTGGGAGACCCAGAAGAGGCTTCTGGCTTTGGATCGGCATAGTATCGGCCGTTGCGCTCACTTGGGGAGTGAATCATCGGACGGAAGATCTTCCTCTCTGTCTCTCCTCTCTGTATATCCGCCTTTCCAATAAAAAAATAATAAAAATAAATCTTTTAAAAAAAATTTACTATGGATTGTGAGTAAATGGTCTGTTCAGTTTAGTGCTGTGCTAAAAAAAAATGCTAGGGAGTAGATCCAATCTGTAAAAACGTTCTTAGATATAAGTATTTTTAATTGACAGAGGACATCTAATGTTTTTGTGTTGGATGACTACAGAGGGTTGACAAGAATTTTAGGGAAGGAAGAAAGACATGTCTCATAAAGAAAGCTGAAACTTGAGGTGTTTTTCTAAGGAGATACGAGGAAAAACAACTAACAATGTATTAGTGTAACTATGGTAGCACACAGGTATGCTAACTTTTTAGATGAATTGTATTGAAGACTTATTGGAAGAAATTGTGTTACATCAAAGAATTGCTTCCCATTAACACAACACTGAGGAACCATTAATAAATTTTTTATATCAGGGACTAAAAAGACATGTTTTTTCATTACTTAAAAAAAACCAGGGAAATAATGCACACATGTGACTGACATTCAAAGATGTATAGATGTTGGAAGCACGCAGGAACACAAAAACGTATTGACCAAGTGAATAAAAAACCAAGTTCATCTTTATTCAATTCATTTCACTTCCACTGCTTGAAAATAGAACTATATAAATTGGAAGCGACACGTCTAGATTTTGAACATTTAATTATTAGAAAAAGCTGCTGTGTTTTCTTACAACATGAAAACATTACCAGCAAGTTCACAAAACACAACTGTCTCTTAATAACTGCCAGGGTGAAATGGAGAAAGACAGAGTAGATTTGTTATTCTTAGGAAAAATATTGATTCATTACGAAAAATCCCTGTGAACATTTAAATATGTCTCAAATATTTCTGACTAAAGTAATGCACACAACTCAAACGATGTCATGAATCTTTTTGTATTTACAATAAGTAAATTGTAACCCACACTAATCTCCGATATTTTGAGTGTAATTTATATAGAGCATGCATCTGTAACTGATGTAATTTTACTGAATTCCACGAAGGCAAAACATATTTTCCAGTGTTGTATCTATAGAGTACAAACTTCACTGATGATTATTCAATGAATGCTTGTTAGATATAGAAAAACAGTCAGAATAAAAGTAAAGACTATCATTTCCTAACTGATTTTATTTTTCTTCTCTTTGGTCTCCCCAGTTTTAAGTCTTCAGTAAATTACAATGAGACAGACTGTTACTACTTGTTGGAGTTAAAACAAATCCAAAAATTATATAGATGAAGACTCAAAAAAGTAGATGAGCCATTAAAATCAATGAGATCCTACCATTTGCAACTGAGTGGCCCCACCTGGAGAGGCCTCTATGCTTAGTGAAATCAATCATCCCCAAAGGACAAATGTGATATGTGCACTCTGATATAAGACAACATCCATCGAAAATACAAAATAAAATATATAAGATATTACTTGTAATCTCCCAAAGAATTTAATGAAGACCAGAGTATTAGGAATCAAAGATCAGCAGTATGCATCTCTACTTCTGAATAAAAATAGGGCCCCAATAAAAAAATGCTAAATATACCAAGGCAGCAAAATACTAGACTCCCTACCACTGCTTATACCGAAAACGTCATGATGCTCATAAACAGCAGAATGCTTGAGTCGAGACTACTTTTGATAAAATACAACACCACTTCATGCTTAAACCTGATAGGCACAGAAGGAATATTCTATAAGACAATCAAAGCAATATACCAAAAAAAAACCCCAATATTAGCATCATACTAAACTGGGAAAGACTAGAATGGAAAACCTTCACTCTCTATCTCTACTTCTCTCTCTGTAAAATCTGACTTTCAAATATAGAAGACTAAATCTTGAGGCAGAATCAACATCATCAAAATGTC